GGCTCTTAGCTAGTCCAAGTCACAGTAACTGTTCCTGTGCAGCTAGCTACTTATCTACTAGAGCAGGTCAGACATTTTCCAGTTGGGGGAAAATCTCTCTTCCCTCACTCTGTCCTTGATGGGGGGAAAAGCTGATAAAATACAATGAAAAACTTTGAAACAACTGAAAACACTTATTGTTCAACTATGCTTCCTTTTTTTTCCCCAGCCACTGTCCTTTGCAGCTCTTGATTGCCCCATTCCCTGTCCCTCCCAACAGGTGACCCACCGAGCTGAGGGCTCCAGGCATTACTGCAGCGGCGGGGGCAGCAGGGCTGGGCTCCGTGAGCAGCCGAGCGCTAATGCTTCTCCAGGTCTTGGGGTCTTGGATTTTGGTTCACTCATGAAAGCCACATGGAGGCACTTCCCTCCAGCCCCAGAGCAGCCTCATTTTCCTGCCCTGGCTCCCTGTAATCCACCCCCTTTGGAATCATCCTCTAATCTGATTATTTCTCTCCATTTCCCCTGTGCCCGAATTAACCTGATTGCAACAACAGCAACACCTTGTGTGCAGCTGATCTCAGCAGCAGACGGGCCTTCGGACAGAGTTGCTGGGATGAACTGCATCTTGCAAACCATCAGGGGCTTGGCAGCACACAACCCTGCAGGGCCACTGGTCCCATGGCCAGGGCTGCCAGTGCCTGCAGAGAAGAGGTTGCTGGCTGGCAGCAGGCAGCGCTGAAAAGGCAGGGCTGGCTGGCACCAGGTACAGCAGGCCGGGAGGCTGGCGTGGGCAGGTGTGGGGCTGGTTGGTGGCAGGATCTCAGTGGCGATCAGTCCTCAGGACAGGTGGGGATGGAGGGGCCAGCACCCTCTGTCCTGCTTTGTCCCTGTAATCTTCCTGCCGATTTGGGGTATGCTCATATTTGCATGACTGTAACAGCTTGGTTTCCTTCTGCCCAGCTGCCAAGGACACTGCAGCCTCCTTAATGCTCTTGCCTAAGTCCCTGAGTGTCTGGAAGTAGATTTATGTTCCTTAGCTGCAGCAACAGCTCTGACACGGACCCCACTGTGGCTTTCAGGGCATCCCAGGATACACCGGGCCCACAGAGCTCATTAAAGGGCTTGTTCCCTTGGAGACTTCCCTTTGCTCTGCTCCTGGGTGTATCATGGTTAGAGAGCATGACACTGGTGCAGCATAGCACCAACATGTTGTTGTATCAGGCGGGGAGATGGAGCAGTGTTTTGTCATCCCCCAGGTGGTTCAGACAAGGGTAAGTACCAGAGAGGCAACATTACCCTGACTTGGCAGGGAAGAGTCTTCCTTAATGAGGAGTGGGGAGTCCTGGGCCTGGGCCTGCCAGCCAAGAGGATGACTGCCCAGCAGGCAAGCAGCCCCAACAGGGGCAGTAGTATGGTCACTGCCCTCCAGAGCTGCTGAAAATCTTAGGGCACATAACTCGTTGGATAAAAAATGCAGTTTGGGGGCAAAGCCAGCCACTGAGCGCAGTCCTGGCTGGTATAGATCTGGGACCAGTTTTTAAAGAGAGATGGGAAAAAGTCCCAAAGCTTCATTTCAGCATTTCTGCAATGGAAGGTTTTCAGTCATTTGTTTTAAAGGAATGGCTCCTGTTTAGGAACGTGCCTTAACTGAATCAAGAAAGAGCTAAAATTGACTAAAACCCCCAGTATGAAATTCTTTGGTGACACCTACCCCCGCTTCTAGTTTTTGGCCAGCCCTGCTAGCCACAGCAAGGGGACCTCAAGCTACACACTTAGAGGGGAAGCGCTCTGGGCCCTGGTTCCAGTCTACTAAGCCAGTGTTTCCCAACCTTTTCCAACCCAAGGCATGCTTACATTAATAAACATTTTCTGCAGCACACCTGTTAAGGCTTTCGCCATCCTTACACCTATTGTAGCTCATTGCGGCACACCTGTTCATTTAGGATGGCACACTGGTTGGGAAACACTGCCCTAAGCCATGCAGGCCCTGTTTCCACGCAGAAGGCCCAGCTGTTGTTTTATAGAAGGTTGTACCTTTATTTTCTCTATGAGCTACATGTAGCTCCCTGTGACCGCCATACAGAGGAGCCTGTATGGGGACTGCTGCTACGGACACAGCATTCTCTCTTTAATACCTTGCGTGGGCCAGCAGAAAGTCCTGGGCATGAGGCAGGGTGCAGGTCTCTGGCCTGTGCCAGGTAGGTCAACCTACATGGTCACTGCCAGGCTTTCCAGTCCTCAGACACAAATCCAGAGGCTTCTTTCTTGGGCAGCTCCATGGTTGTGCCAATGGCCTGAGCAAGAGGTTTTTAAGACCCAGATAGATAAAATCATGGCTGGGATGATCTAGTTGGTCCTACTTTGAGCAGGGGGTTGAACTCGATGTCCTCCTGAGGTCCCTTCCAATCCTTATTTTCAATGAAGAGGCCCAGGGCCTGGCTCTGTTCCAATGTTCAGGGGAAGGATCCAGCGTGTAGCTCTGTCCTCACTTAGATGGAGAGGCTGAGGTGACCCTTCGGCCAAATGGCAAGATCTACACAGAATTAGAGGCTGGGAACTCAGGACTCAGGTTCTCCTCTGGGGTGTTCACCCACTGGGTGTCATCGCCACACCAGCTGCCAACATGGGAGCCAGAAGGGAGACTCCTGCAGGTATCAGAAGCAGCCGGCGACTGTGAGGTCTCCCCAGTGCTTTGGAAAGAGCCAGTAAAGACATCTGCACACACATCCATGCCAACCAGTGGAGAGTGGGCACTGGCGAAGGCCCCTGGCCCATCACTGACACAGAGGTTGAGCTTTGCAATCAGCGGCTTCCCAATATTTACTGACTGGCTCTCCTCAATAAAGTCATCAATTCCTTGGTATTGGTACTGCAGGCAAATGGTGAAGGTCAGTTCCTTCTGCAAGGGCACCAAGAGCAGTGGTTAGTGTCCAGGAACATGATAAGAAGTGCAACAGCTTTCAATGCCAGACACACATTGCCTACTGTCCTCCCAAAACCACTCTCCCCAGCAGTGCTGCCTGGAGAGTCTGCCTCCAGCCATGCAGTATTAACACCATCCCCAGGAGTCCTATGGAGAAGGCACAGGACGCTAGGCCCTGGTTTGGCCACAGACCCTGGGTGTTCCTGGGCCAAAGCACAGCCTAGACATGTTGAATCTGTAGTGACTAGGTGAGAAGGGATGAGCACCTCCCGACAGGGTGCTTCTGACCCCTGGATCAAAACCCTAATGCCCAGGAGGCAGCAGAGACACCAGGGTTCGCATTGTCCCTCCTTCAGTTCTTGCTGTCTTCTGGCCTTGCAGTGATGGCAGAATGAGCTGGATCTCTTCCACCTCACTCATGGCCAGCAGCATGGGGGGGACCCGTACCCTCAGCGCCACGGCAACACTTACTTTCAGCTTCTGCAGGCCACAGAGCCGGCTGTAGAGGCAGCAGTCTGGGAAGTGGGTGCTTGAGGCCTGGGGGAGAGTGCTCCCCACCTCCTCTGGGCTCTCCTTGTTGGTGAACTTCAAATCCACATCCAGCTCCTGTCCCAGACAGCATGGTCAGTAGTTGGGGTGGGGAAGGCTACCTCGAGGGCACAGCCCAGCATAGCCAAGCCTGAGGGAGTCTCTGCCCTGCACTGCAGCTCTGCCCATCAAACCTACCCAAATCATGGGGGGCGATTCAAATCTGGGACCTGCCACTTTGTCTCCTGCTGTTAGAGCCTTTGATGTCACACTCTCCCATAGTGGGGGATAGGCTGAACCTGGCTGGCTTTAGGGGGTTTAACCAACATCATTTGGCATAGCTGGGGGAGATGATTAACCTCCTTTGTGGAAGCAGCTGGCTGAAAGCAAACAGACCCCAAGCCAAAAACACAAGGCCTTTGCTTCCTCCGAACAGAGGAGGAGGAAGAGGGGCTTTGCTGAGTATTGTTTGAAGACAGGGAGTGGAGGCGAGACAGCCCTGGTGGAGACGTACAAACAGGTCCGTAGCAGAAGGGGAGCCGGGGAAGGCGACACGGGGCAGAACCATCCCATGCTGCCAAGGCAGTAGCTGGGAGTTGTACCTGCTCTGCCAGGACTGGGGCTAATGGAAGGGGAAATGTCTTTGTGCCATCTCCTTGCTTGAATCCTCCCCCCGCGCTCCAGACTGGTGGGATCTCACCAGTCCACCCCAGAGAGGGGCTGAGTGAGACAACAGCGGTGCCCAGCCAGAGCAGTGATTCCCAACCAGGGTGTTGCAGCAACTTGGGATGCCAGGAAATCCTTTTGAGGGCGTTGCACAATATTAGCACTGTTAGACACCTGCACAACTGATAAGATAAGCCCAGAGATTTCAAAAAGTGTCCAAACCACTCTGACTCCCTGTGTGGTAGGACAGAAGAATTGCTCTATTATGTTTCCATAGCCAAAAAATGAGTGAAAGCTAAGAGCTGGTATTTTTCTGGGGGGCCCTTGAGTCTAACAAGGGGGAGCCTTGGGTCTAAAAGGATTGAGAATCCCTGAGCTAAAGCTTCCTTAACAAGGGAATGCAGGTTTTGCTGCTTGGGTCCACTCTACTCACCTGTAACAACAGGAAACGTGCCTCCGTGGGAACAGGGCTAGGCTTGGGCCGGTGCTTGCACAGAGCTCAAGGGCCCCTATTGCTCCCAGAGAGCTGAAAGTCAACCCTACGCTTATCCAGAGCCAGATCTCTGGGCTAACCAGGGTCTCTCACCTCCGGGATGTCCGTAAGCTTTGCCTCACACCTTGTGATCTCTTTCGGTGTCACCACTATGTGCGTGTAGATGATCAAGATGTTGGAGAACTCGGCAGCAAAGCCCAGCTGCACTCTGACCCCGCAGTCAAACTGAAGGTATCGGCTTTCTGGGAGGACTGCGAACAAAAGGGAGCGATGCTCAAAGAGGGGGTCACATCTGCCACCTACCGGACTAGGAACTACTCACAGGCTCTCATGGCCCTGTCCTACTGAGCTGGTTCCTGGGGATGCTCCTGCAGCTCGTGGGCTGGGGCCGCATTTCCAAAGCAGAAGAGTGCTTGGTCTTGTAGGTGCAAGACTCTGCTTTGCTGCACCCATTTGCCTTCCTAGCAGTGCCCGCTCTTAACGGGGCGGGCCAGAGCAGGCAACCTAGCCGTGGAGGCCTCCTCGGGCTCACACCAGTCCCTGGGGACTCTCCTATTAGTGTCTGGCATGACCCCGAGCAAGCCGACCTCCCACTCCCATCCAAGGGCCTTGCCTAGGTGCTCTGGCTCAAGGACAGGCTTCTCAGTGTCTGCTTCTGCCCCCTCCCACTTTGGAGGAGCCCAGACACTCACCGTGAGCCTTGACCCATTGCAAGTTCCTAACAGAGACTTCCTCCGGGCCCTCAGATGGCTTAATTGGATCGGTGAGGGCTCGTCTCTCACATAAGTTGCTCCGTAGCTCCAGCGCCTGCCGGCCCTTGGTGATCTCTAAGGTTCCCATGTCTGAAAGACACAAGCAAGGTTGGGGAAACACCTCTGGCATGGCAGGGAGTCCAGGATCTGTGGGGAGCCTTGAGCTGTGCTTCCAGATGAACTCACCTTCAGCCACCTTGTCTAGCAGCACTGTGATCTTCTCATCCTCCAGCAGCCACCTCTTCAGGAAGCTGACAAAGATCCCATTGGAGAGCTCTCCCTGGCTGAGCTCATAGGCCTCTGCATCCGCACATCTAGGAGAGGGCACCCAAGGAGGCTAAAGCCACTGGGACTCCATCAGTGGGTTGAACCCTCTTGACTCCTGACCGCTTCCTTCCTTGGCCCTTTCCTTTAGAGGTTTGCAGCAAAGATAACTCGGGGACTTTTCTCCTATGAAGCCTACTTCAACCTTAGCGAGACCTGGGAAAGCTTCTGCTGCAGGAGGAAGGCTCAGGCTCCCAATGGCAGAGAGCAGCCTGGAGCTGTCTCATACTGGGGAGAGGCCCAAGCCCGGAGCCCCTGGTAGTGCAGGTTTGGGTCTGGAACCGAGCCCTGGGGCTTGGTTCTTCCATGACAGCCAAATAGCTGAGAATTTGGGTTGGGTCCTGCTGTGTTTTAAGCCTGGAGTTTTCAAAGGGAGTTTAGAGCCTAACCCCCTTGTATTCCAGTGGGACTAGGTGCCCAGCACCCTTGGGCTTCTTTCAGAAGCCCGGCCCCAGGCTTTCTTTTCTCCCCTAGGCCTGTTTGGGGTGAAATTCGTCCCACTTTTCTTCTGCTTTGGCCTTCTCATTGTACAGGTCCCTCCCGTGCGGCCTCCGCAGGGCTGACAGGCACAGAGACCTCCAGAGCAGCCTGTTCTCAGCTGTGCTGCCCCTGGCAGAGAAGCAGGTGGCAGCCCCACGACATCTTGCTGGTTCAAGGGAGGGTGGAAGGGGCTTTGGCTTGGGATAAGAAAGCTGGACCAATATAAATAGCTCCAACAGCTGGAGGAGACACACAGCATAGAGCAGCACTTTTCGAACTGTGTTCTGTGGCCACCGGTGGTCTGCAAACATAAGGTGAGCAGTTCACAGGTCGTACGGGCCCCGTGAGCCTTGAGAGTGTTTCCAGCTTAGGGACAGGGTTGCAGGACGGGCTGGAGAAATTATGAGGGCAGACAGCTGTTGCTTGGATGGAGCCCAGGACTGAGAGGCAGGGCTTTGGGGCCTCTGTCCACCCCTGCATGGGATGTCCATGGAGCCTCCAGAATGCCAGCTCCTCCGGCCAGACCTCAGCTCCCCTCCTCTGCCACCTCCAAGAGGTGAGGACCTCAGGTCCCCATAACAGGCACCGCACCAGGCCCTGATCAACCCCCTGGCCATGCCCATTCCACTCTGCAACTGCGGGACACTGAAGAGCGAGCCGGGGCAGTGAGTGTCCCCGTGGGCAGCAGGAGGCACCAGCCGATACGTACGTGGCATAGCCAAACACAATGTTGGCCGTGACCTGCAGCGCTCCCACCTGCGGGATGATGTCGTCATTCAGGTTCCTGGGGGGAAATGGAAGCAGCATGAAACGTCCCTGCAGTTCCCAGTGCAGCGCCCTTTGCCATAATACGGGGCCTCCATTTGAACCGGTGCCCCTGGATCTCTATCAAGAGCATTGGCTTTGGGGCTGCTGCCAGCTGCCTGAGCAATGTGGGGAGGGAGGGGGGCTCTGCTTGGAGGCTGACTGGTGTCACCATCAAATGTCCCTCTAACATCTCTCACTCCAGCCTGCAGATTCCCTGGCATTTGTTACACCCAAACCAGTGCTGTCCTGGGTACTCTGGGCAGGGGGAAAAGGGACTGTGACCCAAACCTCACTCTGCAGCATCCATGTAAGGATACATCTCCCTGCATCCACACATGTACAGCAGTATGTCCCTGCCACGTGAGAGCATCAGCCTTCCCCCACCTCCTCCCCAAGGGCAGAGACCCCTGCCGCTGCCAGCTCGCGGGCTCCGGTGCCCACTCACCTCTTGCGGCACATGTCCAGCAGGAAGATGTTGAGGCCAGTTTGTCGCTGCTGCATGCTCTGCAGCACGCTCTGCACACACAGGCAGTGCTCCGATGTGTAGGATCCCGGCGCATCTATAGGGACCATGAAGCTGTTCCCAAAGTTCTCGTAGCCATGGCCGGCGTAGTAGAGCAAGCCTGGAGGGCAGGGAGCACATCACATCAGGAAGAGCTCTCCCGGCTGTTGCCTTTATCTCCGACTCTCCTCCCTGCTGTCCCCATGTCCATCCGGCCAGCCTGCAGGGAACTCTGGCAGCCTGCTGTGCCCAGTATGTAGTCAGAAATCCAGCTCAAATTCTCTTTTCCTCCTTCTCAGCCTTGCTCCTGTCTGACCTAAGCCCTCCCGCACACTGTTCACCTGCACTGGTCACTTGGGGCTGCCGTTCCCTCCCCTCCTGCATGCACCGAGACCCTGTGAAATGAGAAGCACATGCAGGACTTGTCACAGCCCTTCTGCTGCTAGGATCTTCTTCCTGGATCCATGCCCTGACTATACCACCCCACTGGCTCCTTCTCTTTTAGTGCCTTGGTACAGATGTGCCCTTTGTTACCATTTAGCCGAGACCTACTGATCCAGCCTGTCCTCCCAAGGCCATCTCCTCCCTTTGTTCAGCACACGTACAACCTCCAGGCTCCCATTTTCCACTCCACCCATTTTCCTGTACCCTCACGTTACGTGGGAGAAAAGCTCCCTGTCACAATCTGAAAGCCACCTCCTTGCCCATCCTCGAGTTCCCACGCTGCGGCAGTTTCCTGTAGGCACCCTGGTAACAGGAAGAGGAGCCATGACCACTGCACCGGCCAGACTAAGGGCTTGGACAGATATGATTATACCTGTGTATTAGCATTTCACTAGTATAAAAATGTAGTGGACAGACAACACTAGCCCCTAAACCAGGGGCAGGCAATTATTTTGGGCAGAGGGCCGCTGACTGAGTTTTGGCAAGCTATCAAGAGCCACATGACAGGTAGCCAGGGGCAGAAAAATGTTAATTTTCTAAAATTTTTAGGGACCCCACAGGCCAGATAGAATGGCCTGGTGGGCCACATCTGGCAGGCGGGTCGCATTTTGCCCACCCCTGCCCTAAACCATGGCAGCTTTGTTCAAGTTAGTGTGCAATTACCCCCAAAAGGGTTGTGATAAAACTCTACTGATGTAAATTATACTGGTTTAGGTTTGTCTGTCCACAACCATGTGGAGGTAGCTGTTTGCTTAGGGCAAACAAGCTATTACCTGTTTCTTCACCCTTTACTGGTGAGGAACAGTTTTAGCTGCTTATTGCATGAACTCTGAGTAGCTGCAGGTCTGTCTGTTCCTAATCCCAGTGTAATTTATATCATCTCTGCGTTCATCCATTCCCTAAGAAATATACATTTCCTATTATTTGTATTACCCTGTCACTTCTCCACAACACACACACACACACACTCCTCATTGGAAGAACTTGCAAGGAACCTGCAGGTTGGAACAGGAGGGATAGTTTGGAGAGTGACACTGGTGCTTGGGAACTGTGCAGACAGATGTGAGCACCTAGTGTGGCTGCAAACAATGTTTTTAATAAAGATTCAGTTGCTCGAGTCCAAATGGAGTCCCTTGATTATTGCACAGGGCTCTGTGCTTGAAACATGGTGTCAGCGCCTGAGAACAACAGCAAAGAGAGAAAAGTGTGTGTGATTCAAAGCATCACTTATGCAGCAAAGAGAGCAGGCAGCATGGAGGGGCTCAGACCCCCTGTGCATTTGGGTTTTCAGTCAAAGTACCTAACTGTAGCATGAAAATATTGCATCATTGGGATAAAGGGCAGAAAAGCAAGCGCAACATTTTTCCTGGAAGGGCCCAATGCATTAAAGCAGCTGAGGAAGGCTTTTGATGAGAAAAAGAGAAACTGGAAAGATACTGCTTGTTTACCCAGAATGGGGATCTAGAAGAAGGAATAGATAATTATGTTACAGAACTGAGGACGCTGGCGTCCGTGTGTCCTTTTGGGAACATAACAGATTCCCTTATTGGAGACAGAAGTAGTTGGGGGACATCTGATCCTAAGCTAAGGAAGAGATTGCTAAGAGAGGCAGATCTGACTCTGGAGAAATGCCTTGAAATATCAAGAGCAGATGAAATATCTAAAGAAAGAAGCAAAACAATAATTGGTGCAGACCCAAGACATGGGGTCAATTTAAAGGAACCCAAGAGATGCAACAAAGATCGGCCAACTGAGAATGCAGTGCTAGGCTCCAGTATTGGTACTGCGGAAAGCAGCATGAAAGGCAGAAAGTGTAATATCCAGATTATGGGCAAAAATGCCTGAGCTGCCTTTTTGTGTCTCCACAGTCCTGGGGGAAATAAAGCAACAGTACACTCAGCAGGAAAGGAGAGTGAGATGTTTTATAAGGCAGATGAGTGACTTTAGCAGATCCAACTACTCTGAATATACATGCCGTGCAGAAGAAAGCTACTACACAGCCATCTGCCATATTTGCGGCTATTTTAGT